GCTTGTTAGGTGTTGCCCATCCTCCTCCTTTGGTGGTAAAGAAGGTAGGAGTGACAGGAAGGATAGAAAATGTTTTTTGTAAAAGGAAGATGAGGTCATTTCAGTAGTATTGCAGAGAAATTTTATTTGTCAGAAATTAAAATTGAAGGGCAATGTGTCTGTTAATAGGAAACTTTAAAAAAAATTAAGGCATATATGGAAAGTGAGATACTGTGCAGTTGTTAAAAATATATATATCGATAGGAAATAAGACAAAAATCTCTTAAGTGAGGAAAGCAAAGTGCCAGATATGTATAGGATGCTGCCTTTCTACTGAAAAAAATAAGACTACATATTCATACCTGCTTGTCTTTGCGTAAAAAAAAACTGGATGAGTACATATGAAGTTTTTAAAAAGGTCATTTCCCGTGAAAATGATCTTGGTGGTGGGAAGCTGGATTTATGGGGAACAAAGGTGGGAGGAAAACTTTTTACTCAGTATCTTGTTTTGAATATATGTAAGTGTATTATCTATTCATAAAATTGACTTACCACCTCAAAAATGAAAGGCAGCAGAACAGAGTGGTTAAAAATGCAGTTTTTCCAGGGAATCCTGGCTTTTCCACTTACCAGTTGTGTGAGAACTTGTTCAAGTTCCCTCTCTGTGCCTCAGTCTTCTCATCCATAAAGTTAGTTCTTATAAAGCAGTTACAGCAATAACTGTCATATACTAAGTTACCAGTATCATTATTAGTAGTAGCACTATTCAAGACTAATAATTCTCTTATTGCATCTCAAGTGTCTATTTTTTAAAAAAAACCACATTTGTAAAAGTATTGGAAATACCTGATGCTTTCTTATGTCTCTATAATATCCTGTTTTAACTGAAGTAACAGATATATGCATGGGGAGTTTGGGTCTCTTTGTCTCTCTCAGCCTAGTGATTAAGAGCTTGGACTCTGAAGTATGTAGAATTAGGTTCAAATTCTCCACCCAACACTTCTCAGTAGTGTATTCTTTGCTGTAAGAAATGTGAAGATGTTTGAATTGAATTGAATAGGTTGTCTTGATGGGGGCAGGCACTGTCCTGAAGTCTTGATTGAAGATGCTTTGTTCTAAAAGACCAGGAAAGGAGATTATTCATTTGTTCATTTTTGTATTAACATCTGTGGTCCAATTCTGCATTTATGCAGATCCCGTTTTATGTCAGCTGTTACTACAATAGCCTAGAGAACCACATTCTGGAGTGGGCTGGTGGGGTTCTGCATTTTGGTCTAGGATTATCCGAAGCAAGCTACTGATAAGAACCCATGGTTTCATTCTAGAATCAGTTAATGGTACTCTAAACTGAGAATGACTTGTCCAGATTATGCTGTGAGGTTTGGACTCAGACAGGACTTGGGAGTCTGTAGTCAAAGCTGTTTCTTCGCTTTCTATTCCTTCTCGTCCCATGGGTCACCAGTTATGGTTAATGTATGGTAAGTTTAAAATCTGGCCAATGCCAGCACCTCACCGTCTGTAGGGCCTGTCCGTCGAGGAGGTTTTCAGTAGTTGTGATGACTGCTGTGATTAACACCATCTTGTAGCAATCTTTCTGAAGACCCTCACTCAAGGCACACGCACTTGTAAGGTACCCAACTGCAAGGGCTGTCTCAAGGAAATAAAGCAAAAAACTGCTTCTGTTAACTTGAAAGGAATATATATATTCTGCCCTAGTTGCCATAAGAGATATGGTTATATATTTTTATTTTAGAGGAAATCAAGTAGTGAAGCACCTCAGCCAAGCAAATCCAGACAGTTAGTGAGCGGCAGGCCGGAATTCCAGCCCGGGCCTTGGGCCTCTCAGACTTTGCGTGCTCTTTTTAGAGTTGCTTTCATCAGTGGTTCCATGGAGTCTGACTGTAATCTCCAAGTATTTTATTTTAAATAGTTTAAAATAGTGGGGAAACATTACCTCAGAAAGACTCTTCTTTTCTATACCTTAAGTTAAATTTAGTTTCAAATGGTTAAAAAAATATGACCTTTTTTTGTTGTCAGTGTAGCACCCTTACATCCACTTTTTTTCCTACTCTCCAAGAACAATGGAAACTAAGAGGTTTTGTAGCCAGAACTGTCTTATATAACAGGATATGTTATTTGGGTACTAGCATGAAAGGGGTGGGAACTACGCCACAAACAGGTTGGCATTTTAAAAGTATTTTTGCTGAAATGTTATTTGCTTGTAGTAACTGTGGCCTATGCCTTTTATCCTCAAGACAAAATTTAACATAAAGCAGCAAAAATTCCAGTGTCCCTTGGTGTGGTTAAAAAGGTAAGACTTATGCGTGCACCCAAAATTAAGAGGTGTGTTAAAAATTTAAACTAGAGAATTCCAAGAATGGAGAGCCCTTGGGATGCCTCAGGCATGGGGTGAGGGCAGGAGCTTTGGCATTCATCTAGGTTTGAATTGTGGCTTTGCCTTTTGCTAACCAGTGGACCTGACACAAAGCCGCACTCTCCTAACTGTGTCATTGTAGCATCATCGGTGTAGCATCATCAACATACTGGGTCATTACTGATCGAGTGAGATGAAGTGTGGAAGGCGTCTCCTGCTTTAGCAGAGTCCCCTGCCTGCGGCTCTTCCATGTTTCAGGTGGAAGATGCTCAGACCAAGGCTGCGGAAAGATGGTGCAACACTCAGCTTGCAGGACTGTGTGAAACTGCTTTTTAATACACTTTTGGTGATGCCTAACGAGTAGCGTATTTGAAGCAAAGAAAGTCCTTTTCCTTCTTTTCTTAGCAGATTTCCTTAGTTTGTCAAAAATAGGTGTGACAGTAATGGATGTTGAATGGGATAAAAATGACAATCCTAACAGTGATTTTAAAAATCCAAATGTGAAAATAGCCAAGGGATTGCCACTTCCTCAGGAAAACTGGCCAGGGGTTACATGAAAATTTAAAACAGAAAACAAAGCCCTTTGTTTTTGAATTTGTACTTTTACTTTCAGGGTGTTACTTAGCACCATTATAGATAATTGCTTTTGGAAGGAGATACTGGGTGGTGTGCACCTCACTGTCCTTCCCTTCCCCCTTGTTATTTCTTTTACATAAATACTTGGTCTAGAGAAAGTAGAATTAGATTTCTACAGCTTCCCACCTTGTTACATTTATTTGAAGAATGTTTGTATTAATTTATTAGCAGAGATTTTGATTTTTTAAAAAAAATATTTGAATTTTATTTGTTTGCTCTTGCTTTAATTATGAAAACTATTATTTAATTTTCTAAAATTGGTGAAGTAGAAACAGAATTCATCCATTTCATGGTACAGTTAAAATATATTTTCTGGCAAACAGGAGTTAACCATGTATTATACTGTTTGCTTAAATCAAATTTACATTTTCTGATATTATGAAACCAGTTTTGTTAGTACATGTAATTCTGGCTTTTTTGTTGGAAGGAGGGAGAACAGAGGATTAAGGCAGATTAGAGTGTTGGGATAACATTTGACTCCTTGTGTTCTGTACGCTCAGAAATAAAATTCCTCCAAATCTGGGTGTTACTATGGTGACATTAGCAAAACATGAGTTTTTGGGTGGTATAGAGTTTAGCGTGGTGCCTGTTGGGGTAATAGATGAGTCAGTTATTTTCTGAATCAATAGGTTGTGCAAATGCTAACATAACTAGGGTGTGTGAGGGTTTCTGGTGATGTAAAATTGCCACTGACTGTCAAGATTTGACCCAAATAATCAGTCTCTGGGGAGAACATCTGTCCCATTTTACCATGCTTCTAATAGGCTGGATTACACCTGAGAGGCAGAAGAATCTGCTGAAAAGAATATCATTCTACGGTTAAATAAGAATGAGAGCAGCAATATTAACAGCTACCATTTATTAAATCAGTCTTGTGTTCTAGGCAACGTGAAAGGTGCATTATTACATTATCCTAATGCATTTAATTGGAAGTTATTCCCCTAGTGCTGTGGCCACTTGCTCTGTAAACTTATGATCTTTTTTTTTTTTTTTTTTTTTTTTTTTTTTTTTTGTCTTTTTTCGTGACCGG